GCCAGCCAAGTGCCCTGTGCTGTGCTGGGTACTGCCTGCTGGCCCCATGACCCAAAGTCTAATACAGCCATGGCTGGTCCCCTCACAGATACAGGTGGGCAAAATATGGTGATTCCATCTTGCAGGTTCAGCCCACCTATTTTCAGTGGAAACAATTATGAATTGCTCAAGAACTACCTGCTCTTTCAGCACAGGTAGAAATCAAATATCAGTCAAAAGGTGTCGTTAGGAAGAAGAGGCTGACTAGTATCATGATTCTCCAGCAGATGAAACCAAAACCCACATGGTTGGAGGAAACAGAACACATCTGTGATAGCACAAACTAGCCCTCACCATGGGACCCAAACCACTTGCACCCTTTCCTGTGCAAGATTGCTCCTACCAGCATGGGACTTGCAGCACTCGCGTTACTAGGTAGCAGGTGACGTACAAGTAAAGCTAGAGGCAATGAAGAATGGATAATCCGGCACTACAATGCAGCTTAGAAAGATATTCAGCCTCTGAAAATGATGGGGAAGGGGAATAAATAAAACTTCACTGGCACTTTATACGAAGCCAAAAAAGCTCTGAGAATGCAAACCTATAGCACATGATATCGCAACGCTGTCTTATAACCTCATTACAGAAACCCATAGTTACTCCTGCCAAGAGTGTTAAATATTAATAATGGCTCACAGCTGCTACTGCTACATAATGGGCTTACTTTGATGAGGAATATGTGCACAGCTTAAGTAATGTGCATAGGTTCAGATGAACCTACTTTCCTTTTGAAATTCACGCAAGACCCTCTCTCCTTGCTGCAAATTAATTGCAGAACCCAGAGCTATTACTCTTAAAAGGTAGGATTAATCTCTGATCTTTGTCCTATATTACATCTTTTTTTTTTTTGTTGGAGGTTGCAACATGATCAGAGGTGGATGGCATAGCTTGATACACCACTCATTACCAGGGGGTAGCTTCTTTTTGACTATTCTGTCCTAATTACTGTGAATCTACCCACACATATAGCCCACAAGGATAGTTTTTTATTGTTCCGGAAACAAAAACATCCTGTCCTACATCAGTACAACTATTATAAATGGTAATGTCCCTGGCTTGTATCATCATAAACATCAAAGTTAGGAAATGCTTGCTGTTTCGTTTAATCCTTTACTAAGCAAATTCGGGTTTCTTTACTGAGAAAGTAGCTGATCATTAACAGAGTGATTATCTGTCTAGAAGGCACTCTCTTCTCTTCTTTCTTTGCCATTAAATCATATGGGCCATCTTAACTTGACTCAGCTGATACTGATCTCTATTTCAGAAGATTAATGACTTCAGTCAATCTATATAATAATTAAAATAAATCAAGACCTCTGTGCACTTACTGATCTAGATATGGATGATTTTCAATGATAAAATGGCAGCTAACTATCTAATACTAACTGGAAGTCAATGGACTCCATAGACTTAAATACTGTTGGTTATTTAGAAAATTCATCATGGAGTGCTACTGAAAACTCATATTCAAAACAAATTCAAAAAGACAGAAGAGACAGTAAGAATTCCTAAACTGAATGATTCATTAGAATTACCTTCAACTACTGCATGAGTAAATATTGTAGTATTGGCTCCCATATATCTTTACTGTCCTTATCCAAAAATTGCTGTACAACGATTTTATTTAAGAATGCAAAGCTTGTATTACCTAGGTTTGAACATGTTCCTGACAAAAAAAAAAAAAAATAAAATGCAGAAAGGCATTTCCCCCTTCTTCAGACTCAGCTTTAATGAGCCCTTAGGTCAGACAGGCACAATGCTTAGTTGACATATCTGAAATTTGAGCTTTCATTTTAAAAAGTATGTTTGAAATGAGTAGTAGATGTAACGACATCTGCAGCCAGCCTTGGAACAATGACTCAGAGAAGTGAACTGCTCTGTCCCATGTAAGTCTGATGAGAGCATCAAGTCCAATCCCCAGCTACATGACTTCAATGCTAGCACTACCTAAAGAATGACTGATTTTAACGCAAGAAACAGGTTTGGACAAGTACAGCTCCTTGGAACTGGAAGCTACTGTGGGGAAAGAAATCACAGAAGCACTAATGAGGAAAGAGGAAAGACAGAAGAGAAAAAGGAGGAAAAAAGTGGAGCCAGTAGTGCCAAGAGACTCCCTTGCTGAACACAGAACATCATGATCGGGCAGTAAACCAATAAATTAAAACTAATTGCCATATAGCAAATATAGGGGTGAGTAACCAGTGCAAACCACTCCTCCCTGCAGCCTGCCAGAGGAGCTTGTTCACTTGTCTGGAGTCAGACACTGGGAAACCCACCAAGCAGGCAGTGCAGGCACAATGCCAATTTGCACTACAGTGCTGACCCAAGCCCCGGTTAGCATGGAGTTGTAAAGCAAGTGAGCTCCAGCTTCTACCAAGGTCAGACATGGGGCTGACAACTAACAACCTCTCGGGGCCTCTTGTTTTAAACTTAAAGCCAAGAAACTGTAGGCAAGGTAGTATTTCCCTGAGCTTTCACAAGGCCATAGACCACTCCATGAAGATATTTCAGCAGCACGGACACATTTTCACACTGCTAACACAACTTCTAGCTTCTTCTGTAATTCATTCTGAATGCATATTAAAAATACAGGTAAAAATGGGTTACCTAATTTAAGGTCTGGCTCAAATTTTTAACCCCAATTTTGGTTTAGAGCGTATTCACTTTATGTAGAGAAAAAGCAGACAGCTAATCAGATCAAGTATCTTGGCAACATCCCAGATCCAAACATTCCTCTGGCTATAATACGGATTTGGGGGTAAGAAACAAACATCTCCACACGTTGTTGATGCAAAGAAAAGACAATCCAGCAGCTCCAGAAGAAAAAGCTCATACATATCCTTGAAAAGGTTTGTGACTAAAATAAAGCTTTCAACATTAAAATATCTGTGGTATCTTTATGCTAATGCAAGGGATGCTTCTGCTGTTCTCAGAGTTGTGACAGCCGATTTAAAGTGTATTGCACACACTTCACATATAAATAGAGTTTAAGATAACATTAGAGGGAATAATACTGTCTAATATTAGTGCACCTGTCAAACACATTTTCAAAATAATTGATATTGCATGTTCAGCTCATTGTATCAGTAATGTTAAACACCACTTCCATTTTATTGAACTGCAGCTCCCCTTTACTAAAAGCCATTTTAGCTGAAGTAACTGGTCTGAGTAATTCCAGCTCTAGGCAGGCATCCAGATGTTTGTAATTTCCATTGATCAGCTCTAAAAGGCTGAAGCTGAGCCATGACTCCACACTGCACACACAGTAGACATTTTTAATAAATGCTGACCTGCAGTTCAGCTCTTTTGCTAGGTGGGTCACGGCTGAATTACCGATGCACCTCGGCAGATCAAGTTGTTTCACGAGGAATTGAAAGCATAGATATTACAATTTGGTGCTATCTTTCTATAGCTGGTATAAACTCAGTTGGACATTCCCAGGGGAGTCTCCAACTTCCCAAATATATTGTGGACTGCAGAAAAATTAAAGTGAACCGTTTCTTGCCATCAATTTATATAAGCTCTTGTAATTCCATGATCTACCTACTCATTGCCTACAGTTCCTCTGTTTGGACAGTCTAGAAATGTCACACTGGCTTCTCTCATGTGATAGTGGGGTGCTGATGTGTCATTCCCATCAGTAACTCGTGCATCTTGCAGGGCAGTTTTTATATTTTCCTAATTTATGCCTGAAACTTGTAGTGAGATTAGCAACATCTGTCAGATCTGCCTTGATTTTTGTACTGTATTCATTAGAGAGACTCCATGAGCCACCTACAGAACATAATTAATCTAAAACCCACAACTAGATGTCAGCTGATGCATTTTATTTTTCAAAATGATTATGTGAATACATACTGGACTGACGAGTGCTGAGGTTATAACAGGCGTGCCTTTTCTGCTTAGGTTTAAGCTAGAGGTCTGTCTTTCTAGGACTTCCCAGGAAAAAAGTTATACCACACTAGGCATTTGTTATGCATACACTGCTCCCCAGAACCCCAGCGTAGTTAAGGTTAGAAGTGAGCTTTGGGGGGCATCTTGTCCAGTACCCCTGCTCGAGCACAGTCACTGAGAGCAAGCTGCCTTGGCCACTTCTTGGCATTTTGGTACATACTGTGCCTGTACAGGATGCGTACATGTGTACCATCTATATGTACCACAGTTTTTGTTAGATAACTCTAGTTCAGTAATAATGGTTCAGCTTTCAAAGATAGGCTATACACAGGTTTCTTGGCAAGAAGCACTCACTTAAATCAGTTACTACATTTGTTTTAAAATAACATGGATATTCTAAGACATAAAGTATTTGGAAATCACTGTTGTGTTTTTTTTTTTTTTCTCAAATAAATTTTCCCATGTCTCACTGTTCTAATAAATGTCATAAATCACAACATTTTTATATTTGTGCACTTATGCCTGAAGTCATTCCTTTTTACACTCTTTGACCCTCATCTCAAGGAAAACCACACACTACAGACTCTAGCTGACAAACGGGTTGAAGTCTCAACAGCCAACAGCACCGAGCTCGCTCCTTTGTAACTCGTGAAAGAGAAATCGGAAGTTTCTACTAGAGCAACACAGATTTGGGGGCCCAACACAAAGACACGGAGCCCTTTTTCTTGGCAAGTGACTAGTAGGTGCCCACGGGCGGAGGGCGCCCGTTTACGGCCCCTTGCGCGGTAAGGGCAGCGGGGCCCCGGACACAGCGCCCAGCCCGGGCAGCAACAGAGCAGGAGGCCGCGTCCCGAAGCGAGGTGCGTGGAAAGGGAGAGCAGCTCCGCTCGGTAATTTTCGTTCCGGTGAAACGCGCGCGCTCTGCCGGTCCGCCCGTCAGCGAAACGCGCCCCCTGCCCGCCGGGCCCCGCCCCCCGCGCGCTCAGCCGCGCGGCCCGGCCGCCCCTGGGCATGCGCCTTGGCCCCGCGCACGCGGCCACTTCCGCTGCCGGCGCATGCGCAGCGCGCCTCCCGCGGGCCGAGCCGGGGCCTCCGCCGTTGCCGCCACTGGGCGGGCGGGCGGCGCCTGAGGGGCGGGGGGGGGGGCGGCGCGCCATGCCCGGGGTGGAGGCGCGGAGCCGCGGTCGCTGAGGCGCGGCGGGAGCATGGCCGAGTCCCTGCGGGAGGAGCCGCCGGGCGGGCCGGAGTCGGAGGCCGAGCTGTCGCAGCGGCTGGCCCGCACCAAGGCCCGCTCGTACGGCAGCACGGCGAGCGTGGCGGCGCCGCTGGCCGAGCGCTACGTGGAGCACCGGCTGAGCGCCGGGGACACGCTGCAGGGCATCGCCCTCAAGTACGGCGTCACGGTAAGGCGAGCGCTGCCGGGGCGGCCCGCCGGGCGAAGCGGGGAGGGGCTCGGCCCCGGCGGCGGCGGTCGGCTCCCGTAGCAGCGGCGCGCCGTCGTTGGGCCCAGAAAGTAACAGAGCCCGAGGGAAAGGGGCTGGGTGGGGAAAACAGCCTAGAGGTTACAGTGGGAAGTTGTCCCATAGAGCGTTTCCTGCCCGCAGCGGGCAGAAGTTTCATTTCTTACCGTGGAGACGGTGCTAGTTTTAGTTTCGGTATTTAGAACGCTGCCATCTGAACCCGGTGACCCGGTCGGCGGGGCTAGTGCCCAGTGCTGGCGGTAAGCGGTCGAAGTTCCCCCTGACCGAGCCAGGACACACGGCCTTGTGCAGCACGGGCCCGAACCTGGCCAGTGCGGGGTTGGGAGGACTGGCCGGCGGCCTCGAGGCAGGCAGATGCATGTGCTCCCACACAGTAAACCTGGGCTCACATAGCAATTTAGCCTTACACTCACTTCAGATTAAATAAACAAGGTAATTAAACTTATCTTGAATCATTGTTTTGAGGTTGACACATAGGCAGTGACAGGAAGAAATAATTTTTTCCAGTAGCTTCAGGGCTAAAAATTCTTCCATTGTCATCTACTTACCGGCCTAGAAGTGATTTATAACTGATTTGGAAGTGTTTCTGCTTTTTTTGGTTCTCTTCCTATAGAGAAGAAACTTTACTTCTGTGGAAATTGTTGAAAGGCTTATGCCAGCCTAAGACATGCAGAGACAACAGTGTCTGTCAGCAGGCCCTAACACACTACCATTCCCCACAGAGCAAAGCTTACCTGCCCTACCTTCATTCCATCTTACTTGCAGCCCAGTGAGCTACCAACTGGCATATCGATAGGCAGCCTTGGTAGTCCCAGCATGCAGAACAGCTTGGGGCCAAGCAGCTGATGAGCGTAGCTAACAGCACAGTACTGGTACCCAGTCAGGGTGACTTTCACATCAGCTGCAAAGAGCACCTTCCAGTTGGGCTCATTCTAGAAGAGTTACAGTGTAGTCCCAAATTAATAGGTTCTGACAGGAATCCGTTTCCTTTCCTTCTTTGGTTTCAAAAGATCTACTAAAGCCTTCCAGCAACTTCAGCAGCATTCAGCCTTTGTTGTGAAAAAGGTTAAAAGTCCATTTCTCTTCCCTTAGGAAAGATTAAGCCACTTTTTACTAAGTCTTGTTGACAAGACTAATGGCATTTTGGCTTTATATTGGTTTCCATTAAAACAAAGTTTTGCTCACTACAGGGGCAAAGCAAAGTGACCTAGCAGCTCATTGGATTTGTTTGAATTTTTATTTTTGATAGCACTTTCCATAATTGATAAAGTCTCTGACCTGAATGATGTAGCTGTGTTGTTCTTCACTCAGAAGTGTATTTGGTAAATGTAATAAGAGAAGGATATAAACAGATTACTAAAATAGTAGTTTTTTTAGAAAAAAAGCATTTCATAACACTTTACAACTTCCTTTCAGCTAAAATCAAGTTGTGGATCAAACCTGTACAGCCTGAAAAATTGGTTTAACTGTTGAACCATAAACTTTGTTCATAGTTTAAGTTTAATGAGCTTTTGCTGCACTAATGATGCATTTAAAGAATAAATGCTGGGGTTTTTAAACAGCTCATTTGTTATTTGATTTAATGTTGCTAGTATTCTTAAGAAAACAGAGCTGCATCATCATATGCTTCAAATGAGAAAGGGCCATTTCATGTCAGCTTAACCTAAGAGCAGTGACAAGTTAGCTGAAATCAGCCACTGTGTTTCTGCTTTAATGGGTTTCAGTCCAGGATAGGAATGTACACAAGCATGTTTGCTTCTAGCAAAATGAATAATCTTACACGTTCACACTGACAATGACTGACTTCCTCTAAAGAGTCATTACATTTGGTTCCTGCATCCTGTATATTTGGCTAGAAGTGAGAGTTGCTGTAATGGAAACATCAGAATTATCTTTGGCTGCCATTGCCTCCAGTATTACTGTTTTTAGAAGTTTCCCCTGTGGTTTTTCTCACTGGGAGTTACTTTGCATCAAAAGACATCCTGTCCAGTGCCTGCCTTGGCATGACATAGCATAGGCAGTTTAAGATGGATGAAAACGTTGGGAGAGAACAATCAATGTGCTTTGTTTGGCCTCATCCTCTGCCCTTCACCTGTCTCCCCCAGGTACCATCTATTATTCTTGTACAGTTTGTGTTCATTAGATCTTCATTTGAACAATGTTGGGTAAATTGACACTGGGAATTAATGTTTAGTATCATATTTATGGTTTAGTTGGAGTGCTGTTTTCCATCATACAAAGGTTTCCCTTTTGAGGGGACAAGGAAGAGGGTTACTGTTTCATTGTCAGTAGAAGTTTCGATGCATTAGTGCAGCTTCAGTCAGAGTATTAAGAGCAAAGGCTTTAGCACATGCTTCTGCTATTTCAGGATTGCAGCTAACAAATTAGTTCAGTTTTCCTAGTATTAAGAAAACAAGTGTTACATCCTGTTCTCCATACACCTATGAATGCATGGAGTCATACTGAGAAGAAACAGTATATATTGCACGTATCAAGTAGACTGCTCAAGACTGAGGGATGTTCTTTTCAGAGCCAAGTGTTTCCCAATTCACTGTTACTCAGTGCAGAGGTGCACAGTCTTCCAAATGCCACAAGACGGTATTTAAAAGGTATTTTAGGAAGAAATAACAAGAAGTAGCATTACAGTGAAGTAGGATAGAGAACAGCAGTACAGTGCATTATTTATCAGCTATTGAAGCATCACCTTCCAACTCCCATGTAGTAGATATCTGTTTTCAGCTTTTGTATTATATTTTTAGAGAAAAGCTTCAGCTAGCATTCTAAACATTTTTTGCTACCCATCAACACAGACAACTTTTAGACATTTTGACAATTGACATTTAAACTAGCATCTGTTGGCTGTTACAAGTCTCATTACTAAGTCAGGTGAAGCTTCCCTTATACCCCTCAGACGGTACTCAGCTTGGGAGAGAACTTAGAGCTACACCATATACTGTGCAAGGATAACTAAAACTGGTTTCCAGGCTTCAGGAACTGGAAGAGCAATGAGCTTCTCTTACTTGAAGTAGTAGCTTACTATCTGACACTGGATATTATTCAGATTTTGAAAGTGATTATTAAATCTAAACATTCCATCATCTTGGCCATCTGCAGCAACAGGTTGGGGTAGTCTTTAAGTAGAGAATACCATTTTTGTATATTTAATGGATAGAAATAACTTACTGCTGAACTTTACTGCACCATTTTCACTACTCTCACTTTCCCAGACACCTGGCCTTTTTAGATAGAATCTCCTATTTATTTTTACAGAGAAAGATTTCATCAGGCTTCCAGGACCCAAGCAAATGCTTCCATATATGACACCAGGTCTGTAATGGCACTGCAGCGGATACTCTTACCACACAGTACAGGTGTACATTGCATGCAGGAGTTTATTCCAGTTCTGCAAGCGGCCACACAGTCTCACATCTGCACAGAGAAGAAAGACTCACATCTCTACTGTTTTCCCTTGGTTTTAGACAGTTTCCCCTGCTACTATGTTCAGTGTAAGAAATGCCCAGGCTTGTTAGCCCAGTTATGGTCTGTTAACAATGGTCTTTTCTTCTGCAGCTGGGAAGGACTCCAAGTGGTGTCAGAGAAAAGTTTAGAGTTTAAGACTGACAAGCATAAATAGTAGAGCAATTTTTTCATCATCATGAGTGCTGAAGATACTTCAGGCTTTGATATAGCGAGTGGCTAGTGCTTAGAGCACTCAGCTGCTTCTGGGTACTTATACTAGCAGTAAGGCTCCTATTATTACAAGACTTACAGTCTTTATTCTTAATCAGTTTAGCTCTATTTAGTTTAATAAAAATGAGTAACACTTCTAATGCAGGGAAGAGGCATTTTCAGTTCTCTTTATACTTGTTTTCAAGCAGGTTTTACATAGAGCACATTTATCATTGCAGTACTGTAGTGATTAGGGATTTCTGCTTACTGCAGTCACCAGGGGACCAGAATGGTCATTTTTCTTTATTTCACTTAGGACTTTTCCTAATGAAATCATGAGTTCAGGTTATAACTAAAACTTAAAGTCACATAATAATGGATATGGATTTCTGTGCTTTTTTTAAAGTTTGCAATTGAGAAATAGGAAGCTACTTTAACTGTTGTTCACTGGAAAATTAAATTTTAATGAGTAACAACTTAAACAATATTCTTAGTAGGGAATATAGTATAAACATTTACTGGGATCTTTTCTTTGCCTGGAATGTAGGAGTGGACTTTATAATAGCTTCTCAGGTTAAATATAGAACAAGTGAGGCTCTACGCATTGGTGCTGAAAAATATGGTGTCTTCTTGCTACTGTCATGAAATTGTACTGATGAGTAGGTTGTAAGATGTACTCTGGGTAAAAGTTGCATAAAAGTATTTAGCAGTTATGTAGTGGCTGTTACCATGCATTATAACATACATAAGGTTGCAGTTGCTCACGCTGTAGATTCAGTTTACTGGAGAAACGCAGCACTAGTCTATGCAGCTGCATTACAAAGTGTTTGAGTCGCCCATTCTCTTCAATGCCTGACTTCCCACTGAAAATCAGGAATTCATCTTAAGTCTGAGTTTTTTATATCAGCTAGGGGGGAAAATACTATGGATGAGGCATACACTGTTCTTCTAAGACTTGTGGTGCTCAATTCATAACTAGCATGCCCTAGAATACTCAAGGTAACTTTATCACTCCTTTGTGTTGTGCATGCCTTTTACCAGAGGTCACCTACAGCAGCTGCTAGCAGTTCTGACCCTTACTCTGATACAAATTCAAATCAGCAGCACTTTTGCAATAGAATTTTTATTCTTTAAACATTGTTCATGTAAGCCTGTATAGAGATTGGAAGACTATTCAAGAAAAGCATCTTTAGGTAGTTCAAGACTTGAGAAAGATCCATATTTTTGAGTCAAGTCTACATAAAAGGAAGAAGCTAGAGTGTTGAGTTAACAAGGCCAAGACAGAACATACGCTCTGAAATCATTTTGAATGCAAAAAAAATCCCTTCCTGACGTCATTGCTGCTGCAAAGAAAGTATAGATTTATTGGAACTGAAGGTTACTGTATAACTGCATAAAGTTAATACTTTATACTTTGCCAAAACCTAATAACTTACATTTTTCCTATCTTTTTCAGATGGAACAAATAAAGAGGGCAAATAAACTGTTCACTAATGACTGTATATTTCTGAGGAAAACCCTGAATATTCCTGTTATATCAGAGAAACCATTACTGTTCAATGGACTTAATTCACTGGAGTCTCCTGAGAATGAAACTGTTGACAGCTCCCCTTCTTGTGATGAAGGACTAGTGACAGTTCAGGAAGAAAGTAGCTCTTCTCCCAGTCCTCAAGAGCCTGACAATCAGCCCACTGCACCAGAAGAGCTATCTGCCAAAGATTTCCTACAGAGGTTGGACTTGCAGATTAAGTTATCCAAACAAGCAGCCAGAAAACTAAAAGATGACAATGTCAGGTAAATGTTGCTTTTAGTATTAAGTATCTTAATCTCATCCTGAAGGCTTTTTAGTCCAAACCAAACCCTCCTTGTGAGTCCTCAGACAGCTTCTGTGGTTTTGTCAACAGCAAGTCATAGACCAGATACATTCAGAGCACACCATTAGCAGATGTCTTGATGCAGCAGTTATAAAGGCTGCCTCACAATAGCTTATAGGATAGCAATAATATTCCATGAGAGCTGAAAGGCCGGTATTCTCCAAGATGTCTTTCTATTTAAGTGGGCAACTATTTAAGCAAACTTACAGTTTTCTACTAGTAAAGTACTAAGCCAAGGCCTATGTGGAAGCTGATTTGCTGTACAGCAAGGCACGATTGCATTTTTCTTCTGTCCCAAATTGCCTCATCACTGTGTAAATATTCTCCATGTTGCAGTTTCAGTTAAGCTATCCTAGCTATTTTCCCTATGTAGTCACTCCTTTTTGGGATCCACCTATGTAGACTTCTTTTTCTCAGTATTTCTTCTACAGCCAGGAGCTCCCACACACTTTACTCCTAGAAAAAGCAGTACCTTTTGACCTCTCTGCCACAGTGATTATCCCTTCACATATGTAGGCATCTCATGGAGAGTACAGAAGGACACTTAGAGCAAGAATTGACTTCAGTACTGCTTGTTTTCTCATGTCCTTGGGACAAGCTTCCTGAGCTTGCTCACAGGCAGTCTCTTGGGCTGGTTGTCTGGCCTGTTTATTCTCTGCAGAAAATGCCTCAGTCGGTGATGCCAAGGTGGCCTTTCTCATGACAGTACAAGGTAGGACTGCAGGGGACTGGTATTGCTTCTCTTAGCAGAGAGCTGGATTTAGGTTATGCCTGCAGATACATAGTTTGCTTTTGCAAATTTGTTTAATGCAAAAGTTCTTCCATCATCCTGGTTCACTTTGCATACTCTGATTTTGAGTGCAAGTGACATACTTTTCATGTTAAGGTAATCTTTCAGGACCAAATCTATTGAGCATAGAGTTCCATAATTTCTTTAAGAAGTTAAGAGATTATTTCAGCAACCTAAAAAACTTTATTCAATAGACAAAAATTTGAGGGGGGGGCGGGATATTGCTTTTAGCAATTGGACAGGCCTTATATGGAGAAATATCTCAAGATATTTCTTAAGGTAAGTCATTACCTACTGCACTCCACATAGAAGCACTCTCCATTGCAAGGACATTGTTTTAGAGTTACAGTCTCAGGAAAGGCTGGAACACTGTCACATCTTGTTAACTCACTTGTCAATTATTTTGTTTTGAACTGGTTGTTAGATACATATCTAACACAGATTAGAATAGGTGTTGACCCGGCAATTAAGATGGGTGACAGGAAACCACAGTCCCTGCCAGAGAAAGGCAATTATTTTAACATCCCCTCAATAAAATAACATGCTAATTTGCTGAAGGAAATTCACTTAGACCTTACTGCACCATGAGCAGATCCAATACAGTGACACTGCACAAATAGTACACTGCTACTACTAGTATCCATTTCCTATATTGCTTAAGTTACAACTTGGGAAATAAGGGCCTGGTACCAAATTTCCTCCCAAGGAATAATGGATACAGGAAGATGAGTTACTTTCCCACCTCCTGTTCAGATTTAGCATATAATTTTGTTATTTGTACATGGAGCACATATTTTTATTGGTCATGGTGCTACAGGAAGCATGAAGAACAGAGCTGCAGGCTATCTGCGGTGCAGGATGTTAAATAAAACTGCTGAAGAAAAAGCTTCCTGAATGTCTGAAAAAGTCTTTGTAATACCACCTTCCACCACACCACCTCTGGCTTTTAGTCATGGCTCACAAAAGCCATCCTTGTGTTATCTTCTCCAGCTGTGTTCACACCTTTGCAGTCTGACAGGAGGTGCCAAAGGACCAAAGTTTACTCCTTGCTGAGAGCAGGAGTAGTGGGAGACCATTGCCAGAAGCCCTGGAGATACTTTTCAGCTACATACCATCATCAGTATTTCTCATCTCCAGCAGCTCCCCAGGAGGCATCTGTTCTCCCTCCTGCCTATACCTTCCTTGTCCTTTGCTTGGAGCAGGAGGCCTTGGAAATTAGACAGCTATCATGATAGTAAACCAGCCTCATGAATACGCAAATTTTCAGTTCTTACAAGTGAAAGCCATTTATGAAATTAGGAGTGCTGTTTCTGGGTAATCTGGATATTCAGATTGCCTTGTCATGGTCTGTTTAGAATATGACATGCGCCAACACTGCAGTGTACTTAAGTGCCTGTTTGAGAGTAAGAAAGGAACACCTAGAGTTACATCTACTCCCACCAAAAGGGACATTGGAACTAAGAAAACTGCCAGCAGAAGCAGACTATCCGTTCTGGAACTTGAAGAGTCATAATTTCTCACCATACCTGTGAGCCTGATTTGACAGATGGCGACAATCACAACATCTCTTAAATTGCTCTTTACTTTTGTCTCCCTTAAAGTTGCCAAGAATGCATGCACATACATGCATTGATTCTGATCAAACTGTACAGGAAGTTTCATAGTCAGAAAATGCTTTGTGTTACAAAGACAGCTTGAGGTGAATTACATTGTTTAATCAATTCTTTAAGTCACCCCTTTAAGTGCTCTCAAAGGAATAAAATAAATGAATCTCTAGTCAGCTTCTTCCCAGCTAAAGCCTCTTGCCGTTAGGTAGAAAAATTGTGCACATGGGTGCAGATTTAGAGTAGATATTAAACTTTAATAGCCATGCATGTAGACGAGCATTAAAGATTATAGAATATTTGTACCGTTTGTGCCAGCTGCTTTTCACTATTAGAGTGTATGTAAGCACTTTTACTAGAGAGCTTCACTGAGCAAAAAAATCATTGGTTAATGAATTCCTCAGTCACATGTATTTACTCAAGATGCAGCTCAAGGCAATAAGACCTGGTTTTGTTTTAAGCAATATTTTTAAAACAGGTCAGAAGAAATGCAAAAGTATTAATACAGTTATTTGTAGCATATGTTGTTAACTTGCGTATTTACATATTTAGGAAGAATACCCAGTATTAGTTTTATCCACACATGGAAGAAAAGCAACTTGTAACAGTTTGAGAAAATACGGTAGTACTTCATCTTGCCCAAAATGCTGTTATATGTGTTTTAGGATGCCGAAACTGAAGTTAAGTTTGGTATCATATAGTTGAACACCAGAGGTCTAATGCAAGGTCTTGGTAGAGTCCTTAGCTAGAACACTAGGGCTGTACTGTGCTTCTGAGTCAGGTCACATCTTTTTGCATTTGTCTTTTAGTGACTAATTTTTTAAACCTTGTAACTGAATAGAGCCACTCTAATCACTATTGCTTATACAAGCCAATATAATATTCTGGTGTGCGGCACTGGAACAGAACCATATATTGTCATCTGCTCAGTTGCCTTGACCGGAACCTATGAAAGAGTAGGGTGTTGAAGCCTTCGAAACTGGTGAATAATTGAGTTAATTTGCCAAATAATTTTTCACCATCGTTGGCTATCAGCTAGGAAAACAGATACCTCAATAAAGGAGGCTGCCTGTGGAGAATCCTGTTTTCAGACTTCCAAAAGCTATTAACTCACAAACTCAGATTGCTGCCTTGTTTAACTGTGGATTCTAGAAGCATCCAAGCATTGGATTTGAGCTTACTTGTTCACACTCAGCTGCACTTGGTCTCACGGAAGTGGTTATTAGCTTTTTTTACTGTGGCCTGATGCATACAATGGCTTGCAGTAAATGTCTTTCAGCTCTTGTAACCTGATGGGCAAAGTGACAAAGGCCAACAGGAAGAGACAGCACTACAAAACATTGTAATGCTGTGTTGTTCCATTCCCTTTGCCTGAAGGAGAATGTTGGAGTGATTTACCACTTTGCTATTTTAAGCATCTTAAACGTGAAGAAATTTGTTTGGTCAGTAAACATATACATGCTGCCATGTTGTTGCTTGTAGACCATGGGCTGGAGCTACTATCGTGTAATTTTATTTCGTATAAAGTTTGGCTTGTTTTTAAGCCATCAGAACAGACTTGTACTTGCTATGTACAGTCTGAAGATCTACATGAGTAGTATTTCCTGGCCATTACCTTGGTTTGGAGTAATGTGTTGTAGACCTCATCATGTAGCCTAGTACTGAAGCCTGGGACAGAAGGTTAGAAGCTGTTCTTGCCAACTACAGCATGCCTGAGTCTTGGTCAGAAACTTATTTTGCCATTACAGCCAGTCACTGCTTTGCTTAGGTTCAAGCATCATGACCTACTACACGGTTCTTATGGCCCTGCCACATACAGAAACCCCTCAAAGCTGGCTGTGACTCAAGGGCCAGTCTTTTGCCCGCTACTGACAATTGCCAAGTAAAAGCCTGTAGTCCAGTTGCATACTTCACAAGAGAAGTGGAGACAAACAACCTAAACTAAAGTTTTGTTGCTTTGATGTCTGAAGACCTGCTAATAACACATCACTTCTTCAGTTCTCCATATTCACCCCTACTATCCACCATAACCAACTGCATGTAATTTCAGTCCAGTGTTTGGCTGTTGCCATGTCATGGTGGATGTTATTACTATATTAAGGCTTTCAAGAATAAAGACTGAAAGGCTAATTCTGACAGCCTCTGGTTAGAAAGAAGGTCTTTTTGCTTTAACTCTGCGTTGTGATTTGAACTTGGTCAGCAGCTAAACACGATGCAGCCGCTCACCCACCGTCCCCTGCCTGGGAATGGGGGAGGGAATTTGAGAGGCGAAGGGAGACTCTTGGGTTGAGATAAAAACAGTTTAGTAATGGTAATAAAACAATAATAGAAAGTATAAATGGATAATACACAATGCAATTGCTCACCACCTGCTGATTGCTACCCAGCCCGTTCCCAGATAGTAATCCTGAAATACCAAAATCCCGCAATCACAATCCTGGAAGCGGGAGAGAACCCCCTCCTTCTTGGCCGCCCTGCCTTTGTATAGTGAGCATGACATTATATATGGAATATTTCATTGGCCAGTTTGGGTCCGGTGCTCTGTCCATGCTCCCTCCCAGCTTCTTGTGGACCTGTGCACGGGCAGGACACGGGGAGTTGGAGAGTCCTTGAAATCTCAGCAACAACTGAAAATATCAGTGTATTATCAACATCCTTTTCATACCAAATCCCATACTGAATCCAAAACATAGCACTATTCTAGCTACTAAGATGAAAAAATTAACTCTATTCCAGCCCAATCCAGGATACTCTGCCACGTTTTGTTCTTCTAAAAGCGGAAACATAACAAAACTAAGAAATAAAAGTAATTTTCAGTGTAGACGATAGAAAATAAGCTTCTCCCCTACTGGACAGTCTGGACTCTGAATGTATCGTAGTTCTTCATCCTCACAAACTAGCAGGAGATTGCTGTTTGCCATTATGTTCTGGGCATATGTGACTAGAAACCCATTGCCCCAGAAGGGCATATATAAGAGCTACAGGATATACTTTTGAAATATTTAGCTTCAGCCAAGTAGTTACAGTTGAATTTTACAGTCCTGCAGTCCAACCTTACAAGCTTGCTATGTTGATAGGTTTCAATTCTGAAAGAGTTCTAAAATGTATTGTCTTGAGACAATTTATAGATCAAAAGTGCTTTAGTGCTTATTCAGCTAAACATGAATTTTTTGCTTCCTTCCTTTACTGTCATGCTGGGTATTATGAATAGTGTCTGCAAATTGTGGTATTCCATGGCAGTTTTGCAATGCAGAATTGATGATATAAAGATACTACTTAAATACACACAGATAATATGTATCTTAAGAATCATGCTTGGCACTGGGTCTGTAGCATGACTAATATAAATAGATGTATTTGTAAGAAAGGTTAAAATCTGTTTTCAGTACTATTGTAACCACATGTCCCTGCAATAACTACTAGTTTCATCCAAAACTTGTTTTTTTTGAGGTTTCATTTTTTTGACAACATTGTTTCAAGGCAAAAGCAATATCATGTCTTTGGTTTAAGAAGATAATTTTGCTGGACTACCCAAGAACAGGGAAGGGCTGCGAAAATGAATGCAAGTTACATAGCTGCTTGGTTAGTTTGTAGGGTTCTTGCCTGATTCTGTTTGGGGGGTCTTATATGAAATTGAAGTTGTAGGTAAATAATTGTGCTTAGAAGTTAATAGGGAAAAGTCTGAATAACTGGGATTTGGAATATTATTGAAACATGTAGTTTTTACCTTATACCATTATTAGACTATTTGAATAACTGTACCTTTTATGGAAGCACATACAGTATTAGAAGTAACTGGGAATCCTTTAAGCTCACAGTGTAGCAACTGATAAGTCTGTCCTCACCAAAACACTAAAATAGGCAGCAGCTTTAAGAACAGGCTATCAGGAACATAATTTCAAAGCTACAGTAGTAGAAAACAACGCTCTTTGGAGAACCTGGCATGCCTGAATTAGTACTGGATGCTGCACTGCAATAGGTTTACATAACCACTTTTTTGTTGTTGTTTAAAGGCAATATTGTCAAGTAAACAGCGGGCAGACTGATTTTTCCTGAGGATTTTTTAATAGCAACACTACTTTGGTTTATCCAGATAGTGCATTAACAATAGCACTTGTGGGCAGCTATTTACTCCTAAGAAAACCCAAGTGTTAAGTCTCAGTATTGATGAATGCACAGGAAGTATAGATCAAGGAGCCCGCTCAAGGAATATCCTTGCAGCATCAAGGCCCGGGTCCAGCTACAGCTATGAGGGACTGCTCCCATTCTTGCCTCATGTGGTCTATCTGCACCCCCTGCCGAATGGCTGAAACAAACCTACAACTGAGCTTGATTAAAAAAAAAAAAAAAAAAAAAAAAGAAAGCAACACTACTGGAACTCCAGCGTGCCCTCCACTTGTTTATCCTTTACAGTATTTCTTATTGATTTGGCACTGTAGTGTCAAGAATTGTTCATTAGGCTCCAAATACATTCTGATGCTGTTGAACTTCTACAGCTTTACTTGTTTTCAGCATTCTGCTCTTGAAACAACATAATGAGATCTCCAGAGATGTATAATGAACTGTAGTATACTGCAAGTAGTGTTCCTGTTGGGCAATGCCAGTCTTATCTCTTTTGATCCATTAGGACAACTGTTTATCTACATTACTGTTGAGACATGGTATCTTCCTGGTCTGATGATTATGATCATTTTCTTTTTAGAGAGGAGGAGAATGAGGAAGGTCCCTATGCAACTTCTTCGTATCACCAGTAGAAGACAGATGTGGTGGCCTGAAAACTTTCCATGAAATCAGTTCTTAAAGAACTAAATGGTCAATAATTCAAAACCCAAGTCTTTTGGACTCATCGTCTTGATGTACTTAAAACAAGTCATGAATGGGTAATTGCACTGAAATTATGACCTCTTCTGCCTTTCATAGGTTAATGTCCTTATGCTATATCAACAAAGGGTTTGAGCCTTCCAAACTAGCAATGGCCTTTATAATACCCCTTCTGTGCAAACTGTAGCATGGTAGCAACAATGTATCCTTGAGGTCACCTTTATGCAGGATGTTGATCTTTAGTAAAGATTTTGTATATACTTAAAGTGAAATTTGTTTTAAGTATTTAAAAATATTAAAGTTTGCTTGTAAATGACAAACAATGAAAATAACAGAAATTTACTTATTCTGTAAACAGGCAAGTTTGACGTGGAAGTTTTGTCTACTTCAGGGCTGCAGAACTTGCCTCTGAACTCTGTGTGTGTGTGTGTGTCTGTGTGTGGTTATGATGTATTCCTAGAAAGGGGAATTCAGCTTGTTTTTGTTAGTTAAAGCTTTTATGGTTAAACAACTGTTTGTAAATTGGATTTCTGCTATTAAAAGGGAAGAGTTACAGCAAGAGATTTTTCTTTGTGAGATACGACATTGGAATAGCAGATGTGTGTTCTTGTGTGCAGTTATATTTTGTGTGGTTTTAAGTTAATAAATACAAAAATACCAATGTGTCTGTTCATAATGAAGTCAACTTGGTTCTAGTCTGGTTTTTGTGAAGAATGGTTTGTTTAGATACACGAGCTATGAGATACTAATTTCAGGGCAAATAACGTGCTTCTACCATATAGTTCATCCTCCTAAATGAGGCCTGTTAAGAACTACTTGATCTAGTTGTGCAGTCAAGAAAACTGTATTAATATTAACAAGAGCCACAATGGTAAGCCTTCACTGTTCTGACATGCCAGTACTCAAGTCTGCACATGGGCCCTACCTGAAGCTCAGGAAGTCAGGGCGCAGACTGTATTCACTCTGCCCTGAGGTTAATGTGTTAGCAAATTCTTGTTAAGCATCCTACAGTTTTTCCTCAGGTATTCAGTAAGTTTCACAAAATTCTTGTCAATAAAGAATTGCCAGATCCCCACTGTGACAGATGCTGTTTCCTATATATCAGCTCATTTATATATTTTATTGCTCCCTCAAAGCAAAAAATTTCTGCAGTATGTTAAGATGGAAGCAGTATAGAAAGTTACATTAGTTTACTAAAACTAGAAATAAAATTTTAAAGCTAGACAGGAATTGGTGTTTCCCTAGAGCTTGCAGGAGCTCAGACCTGGCAGGCTTATTCAAATCTCTAGCTCTGGTCCTAAAGAGGAGGTCTGCAGCGGCACACAAATTAACAAGGACAGGGAAAGCTTAGAGTGAATAAAAGGAAGCATTGATTTTTCATGAAAAGACTGATGAATTAGTTTTAGGTTTTGTATATTTCTTAAATTGGGATTTGTATCTATTCCTTACAGGATAGTAATTTATATTGTTGTCAGTTAAATTCAGTAGGACATTACCAGAGCCAGAATAAACCGCTTTTCCAAAGGTGACCCTAGCTTCAAGCCCAGTTCTATTTTACAATCCTACAGAAAAATTTAATCCTTTTCTACCAAAGCCCTGCTGTTGTATTACCCTCCTCTATCCAGCAGGTGCAGGCCCAGGGTGTTTTGCTGAGCGGGGCGGAAGCACAGCTTTCCTTGCACAGCAAGCACACCTCCTGGCAGCCACACGAGGCTCACCAAGCTCCTGGCAGAGCCACATTTCACTTCACCCTCTCCAAGAGTACTGCTGTGCTCCTGGGCTGGAGGACCTTCAGGACAATCAATGAAAGATTGGTGACACCATTTACATCTACTTTTCCTGACTGAGAAAGCCACACAGAAGCACAAGGGAAGAAGCAGTTGTGCCAGGGTGTAGACATGGTTGGGCAGACCCACTGCTGCACACCCTTCCCCTCACACAGGTAGATTTCAGCCCAGCCCCACAGCTTGGGCCAGCAGCACCCTGATCAACTTACAGCATCTCTGGAACCCCCACTACACCAGCACTCAGCACGGCATCCATTGCAAAACCACTAGCATAACCCAGCAGAGACGTCTGACCCATCTGTTCCTCACAAGCATCTTCCCACAGGGACAATTTCAACGCTGCCATTAACCACAACAAAGACTGCCTGCAAGAGGCCCTACCTTGGCAGCCATAGCCTCAGAGCTGGTCTCCACTCCTCGCAGGGCCCCAAGGGCACACTGCTCAGCACCAGGCCAGGGAGAGGGACACAGACAGCCCTTAACTTTTGCTTCCACTTCACTTTCTTTGGCACTTCCAGTTCTATTTACCAAAACCTGCAGCAGCCACCATAGAGCCTGCCCCTGGGGGAGGCTGCTCTGCATGGCTGCTGGGCCTCCCAGCAGGCTGTGGGGCCTGACGAGCCCCCCGGGCCAGCTGAGCGGCCTCCCCCTCAGCCCCCCGGGCCAGCTGAGCGGCCTCCCCCTCAGCCCCCCGGGCCAGCTGGGCCTCCTCAGCGGGGCAGCAGCTGTGGCCAACTTGGCTTTTGCCTGAGCGCTAATTCAGCAGGATTCTCTTTCCTCTGGCAGCCTATTGCAGCACAGGTGAAAAGTTAGATTTTGTTGTGCTTAATTGATGCCCGTTCTGCTTTTCAGGTAGATAGATGTGGTGTTTCATAATCCCTAGGGCAAGTGCAGGGACTGGATACCCGTTTTGAATGTAAGGGTTAAATATTTTTTGAAATTGCTTTGCTGTGCTGCTGCAAGTTTCTGGCCCCCCTTCCTCGGTGCAAGGTCCTGTGAGCTGTGTGGCTGCTCTCACACCCCGTGTGCCCTGGGTCCCCTCAACCCCAAGTCAAACAGCAGGTGAGAGAAAACGGTGCCTGGAAATAGCCTATCTGTAATATACTTAGCATAATTCAAGGTGGAATTTTCCTACTGTGTAAAAAAAGAGGTTCTTAAGACTCTGAAGTAATGAATGTTTTCATCTACACTGTCATATTATTAGTCAATAAAATGACAGTTTTTCCTGTGCATTTTATATATTGTTTGTACATTATCCTGTGTATTTTGCTTCCCACTCTGCCTTTATTCTTCCTATACTTGTAACTTCATTCTTTGTTTCTGTATTTATACTAGTCCTACAGGGTGTGGTTTAGGGCTGGAATAGTGCAATTTCAGGCCAAAGTGATACAGTGCATATAAAATTCCATGTTTAGCACCCATTCTGTTGTGGGAAACCTGCATGTTTGTAGTTTTGTTTTCACGTATTTCTTCAGTTGTGTCTTGAAAAGTCAAAACTTGGCCAGGCTTGGACTAGGATCTTTTTCAGTTGTGGGACATATCTGCTAAAAAGTATTAATTTGCGACTCATATGTAATATATGTGGAGGCTACTAAACCCCTGTAAGCCCAGTTAGCCATCAGGTGCCATAGTTGCATCTAACATTCTCAGCGGGGCATCCCCCTTCCCCTTGTGATGAATGCTTACTGCTTTGTGGTGCTGGGCATCCTCAAAAAGCTGGGCAGTGAATAGAAAAGATGCATTCTCTTTGACACACAAAAGCAGACTTGTACTACTGTAGCTTGTAGTAAAGTGTTTAATAAAGTACAGTATCAGAAACAATAGTCTAATAGAAAAGCTCAAAAGGTGAATAGCATATGTTTTACTTGTTACATTTTCAGTGATAATTTAGGGAGTGAAGGATTTCTGAAGGATGCAGCAGAGATACAAACAACATAGAAACTGATTTTTGTCAGTTTAGAACAGAGATGTGCAGGTGTTGAAAATACCTTTCTCACCAGGAAAAAGGAAAGCACTGCCAGAATATGATTTACTAATTATGTACTAAACACACTAGCAGCAGATGTCCAGTGCTAATGTGTTCCAAGTGTTCCCTTCAAAATAAGGACGTATCTGTAGTGCGGGTTGAAACTTGCGTCACTCGGTTTGCTTTTATTTAGCGTAAGTCCCAGCCTTTTAGACATGCAGGGTGATTCATCAGGCTGGCTGTGTTTTTACTGTCTAGTTCTGAAAGGTGTGATTTACCGATAGATGTTCGTTTGATGTACCAGCAATGAAACCAATATTTGAAGCATTCAAATAACAAGTTTAATGGGCTTGGGCAGGATAGGGAGTGAATCTAGTTAGAAGAACATAGCTGAGATTGCTCATCTACCTGTCAGAGGGCTTGCTCTGTTCTCAGCTAGTCATCAGGTTGGTCTAATTGGTCTACGTATGTACCTCAAGTGATGCACAGCAGCAGGGTAAGCACAGAACAGGTCCAAGGACATGCATGCTCTGAACTAGAATCAGGTCATGCCCATTGTTTGGGCTTTTTTTTTTTTTTCCCTAAATGATGTCATCTGGGCTTTGCTGAAGTTATAAACTTTGCAAAACTGAGAGGTTAAAAAATACTGTACTAGCCTTTTTGTGGACACAAACTGTTCATAATCATAGGTCGCTAGTTGATGCCATCCTTCCATTTGTAGCAATCTCCTAATCTCCTACATAGACTCCTGAGAGGCCAAAGTAAGAACCTAACTTCCAATGAAAATTAACAATATTATCGTATTTCCCATTATATTGACAGAAGAAGAAAGCATGCTTTTTTTTTTTTTTTTTTTTTTTAAATAGCCATTGCGGAAGGAAGGTTTGTCCTTTTTGGTTTTTAAGTGTAGATCCTAGATCACTACCACTTCCCCAACTGTAAAGGTCTATGGTTAATTATCTTTCTCCTGATTTCTTTCATTAATCCAGAAGTCCACTTTTCCAGTGTGATAGTCACATAAGAAAGTCACAAACTGTTGCAGAAAACAACTGAGGTCTATAGAGACAAGAAGAAATTCTGTTCCTTGGGAACAGTATCAAATAATAATAATAATAATAGAAGGCTTGGATGAGAACAAATAACAGGAATTAATTTTTCCTAATTATCTGCAGTGTTTCTAAGGGACTATTTTTCAAATAGGAAGATTACATTTACTATATTTCTGGATACAGTTTTTATCTTAAAATAAACACCACCATTAGTGACTGATACTGTAATCCAGTGATCCATATCAGAATGTGTATGAGCAGTACTTTCTGTATGCTAGAAAGCATTCATTGGCTTATGTCTCATCAGTTTCAAATAGTCTTGCTGTTACACCTCACTGCTATCACATTCATTTAATATTTGTTACCAATAATGTTCTGTTGATAATGTTCGGTTGATAATTTATGTTTTGCAGGGATTCCAAAGTTTACTTCAGTTGGCTAGGAAACATTGCTTAAATCTCTTCCTCCTCTTTAATCTCCAACTGTGCTGAGAAAATGAGGAAAGAAACCATCTGCCCATTTGACATCTACAGAACTTTGTCCTGTAAGTCAGCATCTTCCTTCATTGGCAGGCAGATGCCAACTACTGCATCAGCTTTCTTTTTTGACTGTATCAATCTCAGAAGTATCATGACTTCTTTAAAAAAAACAGAGCAGGAATAACCTCAATTATCAGCGAAGAACCTATAGCTAAAGAGAACAGGGCTTTCCTGGAGTTCATTTAGACAAGTGACTGCTGCAGGGGCTGTCTCAGGACTTGCAACTTCTGGAACTCAGTTTAAAATTTATTTTTCTAAAAAATTCTTTACCTTTGATCTTGCTTCATGAGTTCTTCATGCATAAAATTATCCATTCACTTGAATATGAAAGATCTCATAAACTATTCTTCAAAAACTCTGTAAATTGAGGAAGAAGAATGAGGGCAACACTTTTGTTTTCTTTTTCATTCTTTAGCAGGTAGGAAATTCTTGGCTACAGATAGCATGTATAGGCCCAAAACATAGTTTTCCAAAATAATACTGCTCAACACAGATCAGAAGTCAGTAAACACACCACAGCCTTGATATTCAGAGATGCTGAGATATGAAAGGTTCTTTAAGTTAAGTCTTTATGAAAAGTAGGGTCCATGTTCCTAAAAACATCTCTAGTTGCAAACTCCCCTTCCCATGCAAAATGACTTGAATTGCTTTCCCTTTTTTTTTTTTTTCTTCTCTTTAAAGAAAGTAATGGCTATTTACATTTGTTATCAGGCTACTCACATCAGGAATTCAACTAATTATGCATGCACAATCATCAAATGGTGCACCAAAGAGAATGTTTATACATGCTGAATGAAGCAACAGTGGGAAGAATACAGCTCTAATATGAAAGGCAGTTGTAGTGTCAAAGATTTATCAGTTAACTAAGGACACTATAGTCCAAGTTGTAGAATACTACATAAATAAAAAAGGGCCAAGGAAAAAAAAGATATTAGGATTAAACCCAATATTTATGGATATGAAATAATATTAAGATTAATAAAAACTTTAGTAGGTAAATTATTTTCAAATATTTTATTTGGAGAACTATGAACTATTTTCTAATAATGCCCTTTACATAGTTGCATCTATAGAAAGCTAGTGGAATGAGAGCAAAAAGATGTATCATTAAAAGAACTTCCCATCAGAAACGATTGGTTTAGCTACAAAAGTAAACCAAACACAAATAATAAATCAAAGAGAACATTACATAAATATTTACCCTATCACATAAAAATTCAGTGTCAGAATTTGGCTGGTAGGGTTGATTTGTGAGTATGCAGTCAGTGTACAGAGCACTAGAGCTCTTCATTTCTGCCTAGAAAGTTGTCAGTAGAATGTAAACAGAGCATTTCTAATGACATCCTCAAATTAACAGATCATAAGTTATTGAGCCAGGAGTGAGGGAAGCTATACTAGTTTTCTACATGTTTGGCAGCCACTAGCTTTTTACAGGCTGCTATATATGCGTTTAATTACATCAGCCTCTTCCTTGTCCAGGATGCCCTTGTCCACATAAGCATCAGCTTGCTGATCAATGAAATCTCTCAGCTTTGAAATATCATAGTCTGAAAAATAAGAATTAATTTGCACAATGAGTCATTGCCATTATACCGCTTCACCTAAGAAACAATGTCACTGTGAAGTTTATCCCACAAACACACTTTATCCAACACAAAGAGAATTCACTACAACTTGTGAAAAGGATTTTAAAAAACCAACACCTGCACAAAGTCATTTTACATGTCATGGTGCTTTTAATATTCAAGAGGACTAATCTTCTCTTGCTCTTGATTGATTGCTGGCAAATGCTAAAGTAAAAATAATTTCTGCTCCAGAAATTTCATGTTATAGTCTGTATGGCAAAAGCTGTTGTTAAAAACCCTATTATTTTCACAGCTGTTATGGATTTAAAAAAAAAAAAAAGTACTAAACGGACCTTTTCCTATTGAAATCCCAGTAAAATTCCCACTTACTACAAACACCTGTAATGAAAATTCAAGAAATCAACTTCCTGAAAAATAAATCAAAATAATACAACTATTTACCTTGATGCAGAACATAATATCCTGATATGAAAAATACCGCAGTGAGGAGTCCTTATGACAGTGATAGTGTCAAAGTAGTCTTTAACAATCTTTAACAATTGTATGTCAATCTGCAATACAGTGCTGAAAGACCCTTTCTCCTTTTCCAATAGATGGTTGCATCTATGCAGCATGATTCACATTATATGCATTAAACAGACTTTTTCTATGCTGGGAAACATTACTATTTTCCATGAAGACAATTCTATTGTAGAGCAATCTTTCGAATAACATAAAAAGATAACCTATTGTGTAGTTCTAATGCTAGCTACGGATCCAGTATATTCGCACATAAACACAATATAAGTTTCAGTTACATAATTTACTGCATAAAATGTAAAGCTTAATTTATTAGAATGACAAGTTAGTAGTCTGGAAAACATTGATGTCTTAAGGGTTCATAGTAAGTTAAATGAATTTGTGTCTTTCACAAAAACATACACCTGAATTTTTCAGTATAAATTACTTATTCCACACACAGAACCTTCAGAATATATTAATACTGATCTTGTAAGGTAGTCCAGTGTATATCACTATACAGCAATAATTGGAACAACCTTCTTTCAAACTGTATATTCTTAACAAAACAGAAAATAATAACTTTCTGTCTTTTTATGGTTGAATGACCAAAATTGGATAGAAAAAGAAAAACATTAAGAAACAAATGAATGCTTGCAATCATTTTTATAGCAGTATAAGGCAATTTCAAGAGAGTAATACAGAAAATTGATATTCAAAACTCCCCATTCCTGCAGAGGTGTCCTCTCCATATCTGAGTTAATAGGACTTTTGTAATTAGCTGTACTGAGGCCAGGATTTCACATCTGGTCTGTTACTGACATTACTTAGAGAATGTAACCTGTTTGTCTCTCCATCCTATCTGAGTAATAGGGACAAATAGTACCCAGTAGTTTAATAATAAGGTTGTGAGATTTCATTCATGTTGACAGAATGCCTCCAGTGAAAGGTACCATGGAATGGAAAGAACATGAATGGAAGAACAAATACTAAATTAATATAACATCCACATTATTCACATTAAAATTCCTGATCTTATTTTTCTTCTAAAATAATACATCTCTAAGATCAATACGTGGAGATGTGAAGGTTTAATAATTAAACATTCTGTATGTGATTACAACCATTAACATATTATCCAATTCTGGCTAATTTGTATATCTCATGTTATTTTTTTTTTTCTGGAAATTGATAACTGTTAATTTCTAATACTTATTTACAACCTATTAATTTGGACTAGTAATTAGAAAAATCAGCTCTGGTTTATATTTGCCACAACAGCTGCAGCATTACATTGAGCTATGAAACTGCTATAGTAAATGAAGTGAGGTTTTATTTGCATATTCAAATCAAGCCATTTGCCATTGCAATTAAGTATAGAATTTACTTTCATTCCTAAATGGCTACTGTTAGTGTTACAAAACTATAAACTACTTAAGTATTTTGTGAAAAATCCGAACCCGCTATTTGCTGGTATTAGTTAAATAACTCACAGTTACGTTCTTTGGAGACTAAATGCAATAGAAAATCCAGCGGCTGATATCTACTGGTGGGAGTGATGTTAATTCATACGGGAGAGAAGCTGGTCTTAAAGAGCATTATTTTTAAAGAACAAGTCAGGCCTGGGAGATACTAAGGCTAAGTCCACAGAGCCTATAGATTGTATATATGCAAAACAAACTTTGGACACAAAAGCCAGTAAGGCCAAAATCTAGACTTTTCTCTCTTTAAATCATCCAGACCAGTCAAGTTTACTTGCCTCCTTAATAGACAATTGATATTTTTAAACTGGGAAAATGCAAATTTACATTTCCAGGGTCATTAGCCATTGACTGAATAATAATTTCTACCGAAATTCATACAAAGTTAAGGATCTACAAACCTTTGCCCAAAGAAAACCTAAACCTCTTCAAGTATATTCAGTGAGTAAACCAATCCATGATTAGGGGTGGAAAAGCCTGGTCATTTTAATACGCAAATTTGTGAATAATTTTTCCACTAGCTCTCAGGTGCTAGCTGGAAGTGGAGAAATGATTGATGAGCACATCAATACCACCTAATCTTGTACTGAAGAAACACAGCACAATGCATTCATGGTTAGATAAGCATACCCTGACTGCACTTCCTTTAACATCATCCCAGGAGAACTGAATTAGCATTTTACAAAAATAAAAAGTATGGAAAAGCACAATAAAGATAATGTATCGGAAGAGTAAGAACACTATTCTAATTTTGTCATAACTTACACTCGCTTTAAGGCCTATTTCCATTGCCAGAGGACAATAAAGATATTTTAGTGCAAAGGAAAATCCATGTACACAGAAAGCGTGCACCTTAATGCATTCACAGGCAGATAATATGCTATGTGATCCACAGTCACAGCCATTTTCAGACTGTAGCAGTGCAGAGGAAAGGTTATTATGAAGAGGAGTGTGGGGCTGCCCAGCCAGTATGTGTGATACAGAGAAGCAATCACACATGACTTAGATCTAATTACTGTAATAAGTACATTGATAATCAGAAACATTTATTAGAATTGGCAGGAAATCTCCTGAGCAAGTATGTGAGCCTGCTGCTAATTGCCATTGTGTGGAAATAATTTTAGAGATGGAATTTTTTTTTAAAAAAATCCTCCCTATTATGGAGTTTCTGTATAGGAAAATGAATGTGTTGGGTTGTAGGCATGCGCTCAGCTCTGAAACATAATTCATATGCACTTCAGCTCACAGAGAGGGTGCTTAATTACCCAGGGCTAATCTCATCTCAGATCCCCCTCTGACTTGCTGGTGCAAGAAGGATCCTTCTTGCCAGGCACCAGCCATACCCCAGGGATGGATCTCTCAGCTAGGAGCCTTCACTTACAGAGCGGGTCACAGCAGAAGACCCAGAAATGGCAGAGACAAGGGGTAGGAGGCTGGTTTTATGTAAGACCTTGAGGGCAGAAATGATGTGGATAAATAAGGTTCTGTGAAAAATATGCTAGAAATCCTGCTGCTGTTACCTCCCTCCTTCCAGCTTTCATAGAGCCCTGTCTTCGAGGGAGAGTCAAATGATGGGGCAGCTGGTGAGCATACCCTGTGCAGCTGCTTCAGTCACTGCTCCCCTTCTACACAGCTTTGTGTGTGAGAGCTACCAGTCATCAGGGTTGATTTGGGCTGTAATCCAATATATTACAGTGCTAGTGACATAAGTTTTTGTCTTAACTATTTATGGTTATGAAACAAAACTCATTGCTGTTTGTGCTGGCATGCACAGTGCTAGCCAGATGCACTGAGCTTTTCTAGACACATCCAGACATTTAAAATACATTTACCTCACATATAAAATCGTAATTAAAAGATATGTTGAACAAAGAAATGAAGCACTAGGCAAAACTAATGTACTGTTACCCAGTGACAGGCAGACCACCATGACTATCTGGACAGCACATGACTAATCTCTAGCTGGTTAGTCACTGCGTGTTTTGTGGCCAACAGCTGTTCAAGACAGTTTACATGAATTTGCTGTAGTTTACTATTTTCATTAATTGATTGAACTTTTACATGACCTGTATTATTTAAATGTAATACCACTGATTATCACTATAATCTAGACAAGCATAGTTTCACATTACTATTTTTTAACTTATAAGTTGTACAGCACAATTTAAATTACATGCTTTCTAACATATATGGTGCCCACCCCAATGTCAAGGCTTTTTACTTCATACCTTCTTTGTTACCTTGTTTTTTGTGCTTCTTTAGCCATTCTATATTCTTCCTGATTGCTTCCAGATATGCCTCAGCTTTCCCTAGAGGAAAGGATGAGAAAGAAATCAGGCACTTACATCAATGATTGATGCAGCTTGCTTAACTGGATGAAGTTGGTCACGGCGAAGGCAGATTAAAACTATTCTTAGTTTCTGTGTAAAAGCTGAGTCCTGTCAACCTTAGTCAGGCAAAATTCCGACAGATGGCTAGCAGGTTTTGTCTGTGCAAGATTAGTTATCCACAAACTTAGAATCATGGGGTTTTTGATCTGTATACATAACTCTTAGTGGTATCTGTAGATACTGTATATGTGGATTAAAGGCAACCTGTAGTGTTTTGATCATAATAACTGATCAACGAAGATGCAGTTGTTAAGACAACAAGGAATGACTTAAATAAGACTGAAAGTTTTGAGTATCTGCTCATATGCAAACTGTCAGAAAACTCCTCCATACAGTAATACTAACAGTATACAGCAAATCTAAGATTGTGATACTTTGGAAAGACAAGCTGAAATACAGCTACTTATATTTACTGAGAAAAAGGATGTATTAAAATTACCATAACTCCTTGTTATAGCTGAAATGTTAAAGTAATGGCTGTCTTTGGACCAGAAAGCACACAGGACATAATTAGTTCAAGGATTACCTAATAATATCCCTAAGGAAATATTTCAGATAATGGATTTTGAATTCTTAACTTGGCTGGAGCTTTATTAATGTAATGTGCTTACATTGGTCAGGAAAAAAACCCCTAGGCTGATTAGCATGTAGAAGGCTACTAGTGCCAACTATGCATGTCTGGTCCCATTAGTAAGTGGATACAGCATTAGATATATTGTAATTTTGGAGCCAGGAATGCAGAGTTAGACTTATAGTGAGTTACTCTGAAAGAGCAAAGGGCATTGCAAGATGAGACAAAGAATTAAACATTGACCCAATTTAAATTTCTAAAAAGCTATTGGGCTGAACATTTTTCTGAAGGTAAAGGAAAATAACCTGAACCAGGCTGAACAGACAAATCTTCAATAGACAAGTGAAATACGTTATTTATAAATTCCCTCAGGTATTGAGACAGTTTTTCTTTACGGTGAAATTAGACAGCCATCTTGAGCTATTTTCCTCTTCTGTGCTTGAATAACCACTGTTGGAGAAAATGCCACCTTCTGTCTGTGAGTGGCTGATAATTTATACTTCTGCACTGTCCACAGGACTGAACCAGATGACCAATGAACTACAAACTACCGTAGCCTTGATCATTAAAATTCATCACTGAGCATGTTGCAGAGAAAACACATGCATTCAAAAAAGTATGAGCATAAAACAACATCAGTGCAAAATACATTCTAAGCCATTTTTTAACTAATTGACTGCAAAACATAGATGCTTATGCTGGATCCTTAGCGATAAGGATCCACTGAAAGGTTTCTGGACCAACAAACATCCTCCTTCAAAAGTTCAGCAGTGTAAGGAGAGATGCTGTCCTGTGCAGATTTGTTTTGAGATATAGCAGCTGTTTTGCACCCTATGGACAGCGCAATTTCAGCTAGTACAGCCTAATGTAGCATGTGGCATTACATGTCATGACTAGGCAACTAGGATAACAAAAGTGCTACCATGCTAAGTTTGCTTATTGAGACACTAATTTACTTTCAGAGTTATGTAAAACAAGTTAATTGCTGATGACCCTTAACCTCTGGCAGTGAGTAATGCAAATTGTTTCACTTTGCAGAACTTTTCAGTACCTTTCAGTACCAGCTTGTTCTAACACAAACTAAAGAAATCAATGGGATCACTCAGAATATCCAATATCCTGATGATCCGATTTCACTGAAAAGCCACAGCAGCAAAGAATCAAAATTTTTCTGCACTGCTGTGTCAAAATGCATTTCATATTGCTGTCAAAAGAGGCTATGAATATTATGAAAGATTATGGCCTTACTCAGCAAGGAATATAGTTTCATATTTTAAAAGTAAGCAAATAAGTACACTTCCCAATCAAGCTGTTGTGTGCTGACTCCCAGTAACTATAAACTGAAGATATTAATGCTAACACAATGGAAAAACAATACCAAAGACAGGAAAATATTCCAGTCACTTGGAGCGTACATATGTAGCAAAAGCAATGGCTATTTTGTACCTCTGGGCTCTTCACTGTCTCCTGCTGCATTTTGTTCTTCATTTTTTGTAGAATCCTTTGAAATTTCATATTCCTTTTCCATTTTAGCTGCTTCTTCCTTTGTACTGTCTGCTTCTTCACTACTCTTGTCTAAAGAAATAACAGTAAGAGCAATTTTACATCAAATGTACCAAAAGCACTTCTAAATCACATCAATATGATCTTTAGGAAGTAAAACATTTTGACTGATGATCGAGGAAGAACCTCACTGGAGTCTGGCTCAAAGTGGTTTCTAAAGGTAAACTCTACAGGAATGCCTGTTTCTGCTCTTATAAACAGTAGCTGAAGACAGGTGACTAAAATGCTGTAATATATGTAGTTCATAAAGGCACATTCCTTTGTGCAGAGAAAAATGATAGGAAATTTGCATTCACTAGATCCAGAGTTGACAAAGAATTATTTTATTTATTATTTAAGACTTCAAAAGCACTGATACAGCTTGCTTTTGTATATATGTAATGTCTGAACTGCACTGAAGGACAGTGAATATATTTCTCAAAGATTGGACAATTAAGTGAAAATTCCTCTTTTGTGTGTTTAGACATCCAAACTGTGGCTACAGCACCTTGAGGGACTGTATCTTTAGTTAGCAGTCTGGCTTCTAAAGTAATTAGCATGCTTTAGCTGAATAGGTTAAAATAATGTGTTATTTTAGGAGATAAAATTGTAGAATAAATACCTGCTGGTAGCTTTGTTCTGGTTTTAGTGGAGGGGTTTTCAAGTCTCTTCTTTGTCTGCTCAGCTATCATTGTATCTAAGTTTTCTAGAAATCAAGGCAAAACAAAACCAAATCCCAGTTATTCTTCAACAGTTACAACGCAGAATCTATACTATATTCTCCACAACACCAGTTTGAATGGTAAGTAGAAATTTAAAAGAACAGTCTTTCCTTGCCTCTGAAGAATTAATGCAGAGCCAACACTAAAAGAACAAAAAAGTAGCTTTATGGAACTTTGATCAATCTTACAAAAAAAGAATAAGAACTAAATCATGACAATAGGTGTACCAAATAGGGTCAATATTCATAAAGACAGCAAATGTGTACATATATGTTCTAATTATTTAAGTCACATAAATCACAAAATATAGATACCAGTATCTGTAGCAATTTATTCTGATGAATATATACAAGACTATGAAATATGTGCTTCGTTCTGGTGGGAAAATATAATTCCAAACTGCTTATCTGTTTGGATTTTATATGGTTTCATTGGAAAAGAAGTCTAATAAAATCTTTTCAATTATATTTAGGTGAAATAAATATGTAAATTGAACTGATTAGAACAAGTATTTTTTTAAAGTTGCTGAAGTCAAGTATTTACCTGAAAACCCAGTAGATAGAAGTGGCCATGTATACAGCTCTAGAAACCTAGAAAATGTTTTTCTATGGAAACTTCAGGACTGAACTCATCTAATTTGAAAGTAAAAGCACCTTTTCATCAAGATGGACGTTTCAGATATAAATGTTGTATGCTTATGTGGGGAAAAAAGTGTCCTTTTTATACAATACTTAATAGACATTCACAAATTCATCATACAAGCTGCCATTTTTCCTCAGTTGTATTATGGACATGATGTAGAATTTTCTTTCCCTTTATCAGCTATTTTTAAATGTTCAGTTAAACATGGATCCAAAAGTTGATAGATGTCAGCTAGGTGGTGGGGTATTTCTGAGCCTTGGTTTTTAATTATCAATATTGCCTTTACATGAACAGCTAAAACATTCAGTATGAGATGTGGTAACTGTGGCAGAATAGATATTATAGGGCTAGTAAATATTTTAGATTGTATCCTCTGTGTAAGGCCAACATTTTATCCATCAGCCAGAAGCATCTTTTTCGATCGGAAAGGTAATCAGCACTGAGACCTAAAGATTAGTTTTTTAGCAAGCACATTTCTCTTTGTGGCAGACCACCATAAGCAATTCTGCCTGCCATCTCATGAGAAATCACATAATCCTGTCTGCCTGAGTCCTCTGCATTTTGTTATTTACATAGAATTAAAATGTAAGCAGTTTTTGTTGGCACCCTGCCTGATTGCACTCTGTCAATTCTACATCTCATTAAGCTTTCTTTGTGAAAACTATTTTCATTTAGTACATATCCTTTTAATGTGATTTCTGACCTTGCCATATACCCTAAACTAAACAGGTCTGGGCCGGGTTACAAGCTGGATCAGACATACCGATGAAGAAAAAAAAGCGGCTAAAATTACAGTGGTGGTATTGATGCCTCACTAATCACTTGATCCCAAGCTTATTGAAAGGACTGTAAACATTCCTTTCAGCTGAGCTTAAGATAATATTTTTTCCTGAATCAGTACCATACTAGTATTACAGCAGGAATATAAGGATTTCTCTGTTGCAAGAGGCACAGTTTTTAGGATAAAGTTATACAGCTAAGAACTTTAAAACCCTGTGTAAATTCAAATGACTAGATTACTCTCCTTCACTAGTTCATGCAAATGCAAAAATGTTGCTGATTCTAGACCTTAATCTAGCAAAATCTATTAAATCAGTCTTAATTTTAAGTGTAAGGATAGTATTTTAAAATAAATAGGAGTATTTAAATGTTCAAAATGCCACACATATGTAAGTGCATTGATTTGTAAGTACCTTTCATGTTCTGTCTTGAAAGTGTCTGGATTTAGGCACTGCTGCAGTAAAGTTGTATTAGCAGAAAACAAAGCCTCCACCACAAGACGGATTTATAACCCGCTTAGACATCTTTAGATTTAAATATCTGCATACTGATAATATTTCCAAATGTTTTTGTTATGTTGATAAACTGTAGTGTTTAAAAGTTGTACATATAACCACATACAGCATGTGCTATTGAAGGCAATAGCATTTATACTCCTCCATTATTTAGTTACTTCTATAAATCCTATCGGGAATTCTGCAGTTTCTCTGAGCCTTTTGATTTGGCTAACAATTTCATTTGAGTTCAATATATGAGTAATAAACAATATTTATTATTACTTTGTCAACTCCAGTAACATGGTAATATGCATTGTTTTCCAGCCATATGTATTGAACAGCTAGAGCTGTATATGAAGCATAATATGGCAATGTTGACCACTGATGATCCAAGCTTTGTGACTAAAGCCAGACTGAATATAACAACTATACTCAGTTCCAAAGCTTTATTTCGTCAGTAAAGATATGGACAATTTTATATGTCAGGCCTTTTAATAAGGACTACATTTTACAGGAGAAATATTGACACTGTCTTGCTAGCTGGAGAGCACATTAACGTGAATCTCAAGGTTTCACAAGCAGCCATATTTTCTGCATGACAGAGAGGAGTTAACTATGTAAGCCTGTTCATGTTTATGGGGATCATCTGGTGTACCTACATATAAATCATAGAGAGAATATTACCAGAGAACCCCAATTCTTCTTTAACAGGATTTATTGCCCCTTTCCCCCTTCAGAATTAATGTCTTTAACAGCTGGTGTTGTTTCAAAACATGTTTGTACTTGTCATATGTGGCTAGGCCAGGACTGAACAATGTTTGCTCTGAGTTACACTGATGGAGTGAGTCATCTTCTCAACTGAGATGTGCCTGGCCAGCAGCTAAGCAACTGCATGTCGTATTTGGAGGTCTAACAAGAATTGATTACTTTTCTGGTATCGTTTCCCTAGCAACGTAATTTTTACAGAGGAAGAGTTTAGAAAGGTACTGACCTTTCTGCAGAGCTGGCCTTTTATCTGAAATGGCACTAATTAAAACAACAGAACAATAACCACTGAGCTAATGGAAGTGACCTACGTTGGCAAAATAGGTCACTCCTCTGGCGGCCGACTTTCTGGGGAGCAGTGTAATCTCATCACTCCAACCAGACATCAGGAATCAGAAGATCTGGTTTCTGCCTTGCCTCACTTTCTAACTTGCTCTTTGATCTGGGATGACTCACTGAAGCATTCATGCTGCAGGAGGGCTCCTATTTTGAGTAGGCATTCTGAGACGTCATAGGCCCAGTTTCTACAGGCGTTACACACCGACAGATCCTATTAGTTGCATCTGAAAATGCAATTTCCTGGCACTTTTGAAACTCTGAAGTCTTTCAAATTGGGCATCCAAAAATTTGAATCGCATAAAAGCAGAATGCTTATCTTTACTCTGGGAGATTGCACTGTGCTAACACCCTTTAAATCCATGGAAAAAGATACCATGTGAAAAAATAATACAAATTAAATTACTTTGTTCTTAGAAATTAACATACGCATCTGAATACTTAATAGAATTGATAATGGGACCCTGAAGTGGACCCTTCTCTGTAGATAGACAGTTTCATGGTGTTTTCCAGACTCTTGCAAGTTTTCCTGCAAAGGATTTTTTCATCTGCATAGTTGTCTTGCACCCAGGAGGCAGTTTTACGTTCTACCCTCATCAAATTGACTGAAGCTCAGATTTCATGTCATTAAACTTCCACAGAAATACCTGCTTTGCTGTTCTGTTTTCATACAGCATAGAAAGGCTGTGTTTATTAAAGGAGAAAGAAGAATGCTCATGGTACCTGAAATCAATCTTAACGATAGCTAAAGAATTAGCTTACTTAATGAGTTTGTACACTCCAGCAGCTTCAGCTGGAAAGCTTTGTACTGATGACTGCTTGTACGAGATGCACACATTTCAGGCATTAAAAAATCACAGTTCTCCCAGGACTCATCTCCTGCAACAGATGATGAGTTTGCAAGGCCTTTTTCCATCTGTGACAAAACTCAGGACATCTCAGCATTTTCTTGTGACTAATCTGTGGGGAATAGCATACCTGAATAATTCTTTTGCCAAATCCTCTGATTAGTTTACATGAGTGCAGGTCCAACAACTGTCCATATCCACTGTATCTTCACTAATGTGGCCAGAAGCAGTTTGACCTTTAGTCAGCTCATATATGTATCGTGCATATGTCACACAAACAGCGACAAACAAGAGAAATCCCTCCATTGTGGAATTACAGATGGGGCTCAGCCTTGCAAATCTCCTGATACTTCCTATCTCCCTGCCTTACATGTCACGATACGGCATTTTCTTTTTGAATCTTCCTGTTTGACTGATTCATCATGATGGTGAGTCTGAAGCCTAATGCTGCCATGAGGAATGATGTGGCAGGTGAAAAACCCCAGGTCATGGCATCACTTGCAAATGGATTACAGGGAAAATGGTCAGAGTGATTTGAAGTAAAAACAGCAGCAGTATCACTTGGCAATCAGATTAAAAGCGAATCAAAAAGTAAAACACAATTAAACAGATGTGTTTTGAGGTGAACAAAGCTCTGACCAAGTCTCCTTTATTGTCCTTATTAAATTCCCTACCTCATAGACTATTTCTCAGATTTATCATTTCAATATTCTACAGGCGTTTCCTTTGCATTACTGCAGTTCTCCTAGAGCTGCGTGTTGCAGTCCTTTCCTAATCCTTTCCCATCCTGAGGGCTGCTACATGGCCTGTGCACACATTTTAAGTGTTTTGATAGCATGCACTTTATAAGCATGATGGTTTGGGACTGAAGCATCACACAGCTGCCTCTACCACAGGAGTGGGATGGAGCTTAGTTTTGAAAGTTCAGTGACACCCTCTTTACCCCACACCCACATCATCATCTCGAATCATAACTTACGGTCTCAGCACTCAGCTGTCAACGGAGAGGTGCTGAATTCAGAAAGTAAGGGGTTTTTATGCAGCTATTAAATACAGTGAGAAAAAAATAAAAGCATTGCCCTCCTTTCTTTAGAAACACAAACCACTTGGTAGGAT